GGCTGCCTAAGAAATTGTGTCGTTTACTTTTTTTGTTTGTTTACTTTTAAAAAGAAGTCATATAACACAATGTTAACAGTTCTCGCACAGGGGCCTGCTGTCACTGTGCTCTGCACTGACAGACTTTCTTTGAAGGAACGGAGCCGGGAGGCGGAGTCCAGGCAGTGGAGTTTATTGATGTTCCCGTGTGCTCTGCACGGTCTGAGGCAGTAACACGAGGAAATTGCCAGGCAGGTTATCAATAAGGGAAATCACACCTGGCCCTGTGCTAATTTGCAGTCATGTGCATGTTTCCTTTTAAAGTCCTTTGGGAGTACAAGGACTCCCCCCTTTTCTCCACATCCCCCTGGGCACACTGTGCCCTCCTCCCCTCCCCCTGACCACCTCTAGAGCACAGAACGGGGCAGGTAAGAGGTGGTCAGGGCTGGAGCCCTGTGGGAGGGGGACATGTCGAGAAGGGAGCCAACGACCTGAGGCTCAGGGAACTCACAGTGAATCATCAGAAGGCCAGACTTGGGGGACTCACAAAGAGGGTCCTGGGGTCCTTGTCACTCCCTCCCCAGGGGATGTGCTTAAAGTGCTAGTTCTGTAAGAAAGGGATGCAGAGCCCCAGGCTGGGTACCGCCAGACTCGCCTCCCTTCCTGCCTGCTTCTCTTCCCGGAAGTGTGCTCACCCCAGGTGCTGGGGTATCCGGTGACGAGGTGGAGAAGGTCCAGTATATCATCTATGATGCCCAAGAGACGGGGGTGGGGGACACAGAGGTATGCAGCAAAAGGGACTAGTTTGTGCGTGGCCGGTGCCCCTGGGCCAGGGCTTGGCTCCTGTGCAAAAACAGTCATTCTACAGCTAGCAGGGCCCGGTGTTTTCCCTGAGGGAGGGAAGCTGCGGAGCAAGGGGTGAAAATCCACGCGTGCAGGGCCCGCCCTGTCCCCGACCAGGCATGTCCCTGTGCCTATGAGACAAGGGGCACAGAGCAGGCCCAAGCCAACAAGGCTCTGCCACACATAGATACTGGGTGATGCTGAGCTCTGCATGCCAGGGCACACACTTCCCCTGCAAAGGCCGACCTGGGTTAGACTGAAGGGCTCACAAAGGACACCAGAGGGCCTGAGCCCAGGGAAGCTCGCTCTGGCTGACACAGAGGGCATCCCTGCCAGGGAGGCAAGCCTCAGGGGCAACAAGGCCAGGCAGAGGGTGCCCTGGAGCCAGAGCGGGAGGGTGCCTGGGGGCCAAGAGGGCCCCCATGCCTGCCCGTCCACTCACAGCCAGATCTCGTCACTGCTCACACTGGACACCCGGTAGATGTAGCCCAGCATCGGGAGCCGGATGAAGCCTGCGGAGGCAGAGATGCCCAGAGCCTCAGTGACCCTCAGTCCTTGGAAGCTGGGGATCCCTCCCTGCCCTGGGAACTCAGAGGCCTTGCTGGGGAGTCCAGAAGGGTGGCAGGCCTTGCCCAGTACCTCGGCTGGTGAGAAGGCCGCCGGGTTCCTGGTCCAGCAGCTCTGGCTGGCTGTTGTTTGGAGCCATCTGCCGCTCTGCCGGTTTCCCTGCTGGTGTCAAAGGGGCGATGCCAGGACAAGGAGTGACCGGATGGCTCCTCGCAGCTCCCTTTCCTGGAAGCAGCGCCCCCGGAGCAGGGACACCTGGCAGGGTCCCAAAGGTGGAAATACCTCTGGCATCCGAAGTGAGGTCGTTGAGCTGCAGGTTGGACGGGAGGGACATGTTCTCCCTCGGCAGGCGCACATTGTTGACCTTCAGGTTGTTAGAGTCGCTGCCGGGCAGACAGAGGCTGGACGATGCCCTGGCACCCACCAGCAGGGACAGCTCCCTCTTCAGGACACATCCAGACCTCCCAGAAACCCCAGCTCCCCCTGGGGCCTGCCACTTCAGTTCCGCTCAGCCACCAGGTCTCAGGGACTTACCTGGAGATCAGAGATGGTCGCCGGGAGGGGCCTGAGGAGAGAATACCCACGCCAGTGACCCGCAACCTCCACAGCCACTCTGGCCTCACCCATGCCCCCTCTGAGCCAGGGTCTGCCCGTCAGCTCTAACCGTGAGACCAGAGACTGGTCCCCCTAGGTCCACATCTGGATGCCTTCTGCAACTTGGCCCAGCCCACCATGGACCCTACTGCCAAGCCCTTGTCATGCATGCTGCCACCCCCTGCCCTTGGGCACCCCTGGCCCTACCTTTGGTTTTCTTCTCTTTCCGACAGACCAGGCAGGCAACCAGGGTGCTGAACCCCACCAGGGTGCCCAGGGCCAGTCCTGCAGCCACCACGATGCCCAGCAGAGGCACTTCCACCCGAGTGGCCAGGAGCCCTGCAGACCACCCTTCAGTTAGATCCCAAGCAGAGTGCCACCACTCCCAAGATGCCACTGTCGCCCTCCAAGGTGGCAGCGGACAGCTCATCTATCTAAGACTCACTGATGTGGCAGCCCCTCCCCCTTTCTTAGAGTGCTCCCTGCCCCCACCTTTGCCCTGGCTCTGCCAGTGGCTGGCAGTGCTCACCTGGGGCTGGAAGGGAGGCGCTGGTGACACCCACATCGTTGGTGGCCACCACCGAGAGGTTGTGTGGCAGGCTGCGGAGCTGCAGCTGCACTGTGTGGTTGGTGAGCCATGGGTAGTTCTGGGCGTCCAGCACCAGGAAGTCAGAGGTATTGACAGTTACTGGCCCGTCCTGGTCAATCCAGGTAACATTGGCAGGAGGGTTGGCACGCACCAGGGCGAAAAGGACAACCAGGAGGCCTGGGTCCTGAGCTTCCTGGTACCTGGCCCCGACCTGGGCGATCTCCGGTTTAACTGGGACAAAGCAAAGGCCAACATGCTTCCGTCACAGTCCCTCACATTCGACTGGACTGCCCTTCTGCCTCAAGCCCACAGCGCCCCTGAGGCCCGGACCTCTCCTCAGAGGGGCACTGGGAAATGGGATGTCTGGGTTTGATGGCGAGGCAGCACTGCACAGAAGCTGAGACTACAGAGGGACCCCAGAGCCAGCAGGCCTGCCTAACTCTGCTACTCTCCAGCTGCAGGCGTGACTTTGCGAGGGTGGGCAGACTGCTTAATCTCCAAGCGCCTCCCTTTTCTCCTTTGCAAAAGGGGAGCGAGAGCAGGCAGGACCGCAGAGGGTGACTGAGAAGGCTTGCGGCAATACATATGTGCAAAGTGCTCAAAGTGCCAGGCCCAGTGTGGTGTACACACTCCCTGTGCGTGAAAGCTCCTGCCCAGCCACTTGCCCAGTGGTTACTGGGGCCCCTGGGCAGAGTACTCACATTGCACATTGAGGATGACAGAGGCGTTGGCTGACCGGCCAGTGCCCTGGTCCTTCAGGGAACAGTTGAGCTCCCTCTGGGCCCGCTGGGCAGTGACAGTGAAGGTGCTGGTGCCTCCCGAGAAGGCATCCCCTCCCACGTTCAGCAGTCTGGAGGTGCTGGCCTCCTGCAGTTGTCCATCTAGGTACCAGGCAAGGTGGGGGGCACCAGGCCCCCTGGCCACCCGGCAGGTGAAAGCGTGGCGCTCGTTCTCCCTTAGTGCCCGCTCGGCCCAGGTCTGCCCATCAATTTGTGGTGCCAGCTCCCCCCATCCTGGAACACAGCAGGGTGTCTCTGGGGTGGGCTGGGGGAAGGTTGGTCACACTACTGAGGCAGCAGGCCAAGTGGCGGAGGGCCTGGGTTGGCTGACCCAGGAAGGGAGGGACCTAGGGATAGGGGAGGGGGGAAGACATGGCTCTGGAGCCTGGGGTGGGTATCTGCACAGAAGGGGCCAGCGAGAGGGGTCACAGGGCACCTGGTCTAGGGAGGAAGAGGGGTGTACCTGAGCTCAGAAGGGCCGGCAAGAGCAGCAGGGCGTTCGGGAGGGTCACGGCGGCTGGAGGCAGTGCCATGGTGACCCTGGCCTGGGCCCCAGGCTGCTGAGAGAAGGGGGCGGCCCTTGGTGTTCGCGCGGGTGAGAGCAGGCAGCCCTCCGGGACTTCTCCGCCAGGCATGTACTCTCAGAAACACAAGAGAGCGTGCCTGGAAACGCCCCGCAGAGACAGGGGCGGACAGAGAGGCAAGCCCACACGTAAACATCCACCCAGCTGCCCGCGCGGGGGCGCCGAGCAGCGCCCGGAGTCCCGGGGCGGGGGGCAAACGGGCACAAACCAGAGAGACCGACCAAGCAACCGTGCAGCCCAGACCCAAACGCCGACTGCCCCCAGGTACCATGCTCCGCCCGACCCCGGCCTCTCTCCAGCTCATCCCACCTCCCGGCGGTCAGCAGCCGCCCCGGCCCCGGTGCTCTAGGTCATCCTCGTGGGCTGCAGCAGCGAGCCCAGCATCCGTGGTCCAGCCCCGCCCCCAGCAGCGGGGCCGGCTCACCTGGCTCCTCCGCGAGCAGCCCGAGCAACTGCTCAGGTCTGATGAGCGCCGCAGTCCGC